AGTGTGGCGACGAGGTTGGATCTGGAGATCGCAAAGTGATGATTGAAGTAGGGCCTTGTGTGCGTGTTTCGGAGACAGCATACGTCTAATTTGAAAGGGCAATTTTTGACTGACTGAGTAAAAAAAACATTGATTTCAACAGTCGAATAGCTTTCTGATTGGTTAAACTTACTGGTGAAATGTTGAGTGATATCTCATGAGTGGTATAGGCAGGAGGCATCTAGAATGATTCAGGAGTGAAGAAGAACTCGACAGGTGAGAGAGAACGGTTCTCCAAATGGGTGCCTAAACAGAGGGGGGGGGTTGTACCAAATTTGTAGCTCACGCCTTTCAAAAGACGGTTAGATGGGNNTGTTGTGCATTTGGAGCGCCCACCGAACCACATGGACAGTTCCAAGGGAGCATTCCATTATGCGATCCCCCCCATTTGTGCCTTATAGTCATGTGATCTACCGAAACCCGTCGCTCATCCGAGGGGGCGGAGGGGACTAGAGTCAGGTGGCATACATGCACCTGAAGGTCGTACTGGCAAAATATCGATGGCAATCAGAACATGGGATCGAAAACCATTTTCCGTGCGATAGGAGGCTAACGCAAATGGACCTAAGCGGACCTCGTACAAATTTTTCCCTACGCCATGGAAAAATTCCATTATTTTCCCAATCCGAAAGCGCAGCGACCCCTCCGATCCCAACATCTACCGTCCCATTACTCTTACATTTGTAATCTCGAAAGTGTTTGAAACCATTATCTCCGACCAGCTGCGTACGTTTCTCGAACGCGAAGGTTTGTTAAATGACCATCAGTGTGGATTTCGCTCTCGTCGATCTACGGGTGACTTACTAAATCTCACATCACATTCCTGGTCGGCTGCATTCGACAACCACGGAGAAAGTCACATGGTGTCGCTCGACATCTCAAAGGCCTTCGACCGCGTTTGGCATGAAGGTCTGCTGTCGAAATGACCCACGTCCGGATTCCACCCGTCTCTGGTATCGTGATATCTTTGTTTTCTCAGCAAGCGAACCACCTCCGTCCGAGTAGGTGGGGTCCTATCTCGGCCATTTCCTGTAAACACCGGTGTTCCCCAAGGTTCCATACTTTCACTCAACCTCTTCCTCTTACTTATCAACGATCTTTTATCCCAAACATCTAATCCTGTCGACTGCTTTGCTGATGATACCACTCTCCATTGTTCCCTTTCTTACCCCACAATCTGTCAAGCTAATACCAACATCGATCACGATCGTAATGTCATTAGTGCTTCCCTTGCCTCCCATCTCGGACTAATCTCCGCATGGGGTTCTACCAACCATGTGTGTTTCAATGCTTCCAAAACTTCTCTTCTCCCAGTCTCTCTTAAACATGTCTCCTATTCTCTTCATTGATTTTTGATTCTCTGCCCCTTCGTTCTACAAATTCTCTTCCTGCCGGGTTTATCCATAAATTCTTCTCTCTGTTGGTCCCCTTTTATCTCTACACTTGCGTCTCGCTCAGCGGGCAAAGTTGGTTTTTCTATTCCGCGCAAGGCGTTTCTTTACACCCAAGCACCTTTAATACAAAGCTCAAATCCGCCCGATGTTTGAATACTGCAATCACGTATGGGGTGGAGCTTCGTATTCCGCTCTTTCTCTCCTTGACCGTGTTCAACGCAAGGCTATCCGGCTGATCGACGAACCGTCTTTAACTTCCACCTTGCAGTCGTTTTTCCACCGCCGGGCAGTTGCTTCGTTATCTCTTTTCTATCGTTACTATTTTGGTTTCTGCTCTTCCGAACTTGCTTTGACGGTTCCCCTTCCATTGCCCTTCTCTCGTTCACCTTGCTCTCAGGCGGGCAGTCACCCTTAACAGGGTTCTGTCCCCAGATGTCGGACTTTGATTTTTAAATCTTTTTTCCCGAGGACTGCGAAATTGTGGAACACTCTTTCCATTTCCGTGTTTCCCAGCTCTTATAACCGTACACTTTTTAAAAACAGAATTAACAACTTGGTTCTTGAATGTTCTCCCCACATACCTCCCCCTTACAGTGTACCGTTGATTATGGGGTTCACCCCCCTTTGCTGTAAATCACTTGATGTGTAATAAAGAAAGGGCGACTTACCTACTCTGGCATTTTTATCTCGTGTTAAAATCACAAAATCAGCCCCGTTCGCCTTACACGAAAATTCCTGTAGTTTTTGGCGATAGATATCTTTGTGACAGCATTTTGGCTGCCGTTTGTGGTGTTACGTACCCCGAAACCCCAAACAGATTGTTTCTATCGGAGCAATCACTGATTACCTTGGCACGAAATTCTAATTCCCTCTGGTCACAATCGACTGTCGAACGACATGCAATCTGGCTACGTCACTTCATTTTTCCTGTATACCAACGCCGGGAAAACCAGAAAGTTCATTCTCACAGTCCATTTTACAACCATTAACTATTCAACCCGCTACGGTTTTGGCTGGCCATTGGTATGAAAGAGTAAAGAGGATATTGAGATGTTGAATGGAGTTTCATGCACATCTGTGAGCATCACCCTGCGCGGTTGCGAAGTCAATCACAAGTGCGGTCGTTTCGCACCTTGTCGACACTAATCACATTGTAAACGTGACCGAAGCGTTCCGACCCCTGTATAGTGTTAAGACGGGATGGTCTATACACGTGTGGTTTTGCATTCTAGCCACAGCGGAGGCAGTTTCCACCCACCTTCACAAACCCNCTGTGGGCTCAGGAACAATTTGTGCAAACACTCAAGCTCCCATGACCGGATTGCCGACAAGTGACATATCGTGCAACATTGAAGCAAGTGATAATTGGGAGCCAATTATGAAACGAACTCTTGAATACGTTAATTACTTTCCCTCTCTTTATCCTTTGTAAATCCCTCCTTGATTCTAGTCATATTTATTGCGTTGTAATGGCATGATTTAGACACTGAAAACGAGCTTGTTTGCCAATTCGTGTTCTCATTATGAGCTCCATGGAACTGTTTAAACACTTCAAAGAAAAAATAGAGAATTCCGATAGATTGTGATTGTCTGTAAGATGAAAAATAGCAATTAACTTCCACTTTGCCTTTTCGCCGAGCTTGGCAATTTGTTTGCGAACGTTTCACCACCAGCCGAGGTGATATCATGGGTACTTGTGAAGTGACAGTGTTCTGCCTGCAGCCGTTCGTTTATATGTGTTCTCCACAACTATTTTGTTCCTTGTTCTCACTGTGTTCGACTCGGTTCAATACTTTGCTGTTCCCCTATCCACAGCTTCCGGATGCGCTCTGTAGTCTACATCGCTGCTCTTCTGATTCAAGTATCTTGTCTTTAGGTTCTATTCATCAGACCAGTTAGCATTGACTGAGAGGCATAAAGGCATTAGGACTGATTTTTTTGTATAATATGGGTCAGAAATAATTGCAATGTTCAAACGCGATAATCATCCACTGTTGATCTCAAAAATCGATAGCTGCGGTGGCTTCCATATGCGCTAATTTTGATTATGTAAAACCGGAACAGATTATTCGTGTGCATCTGCATTTCTTTTGCTTAGGGGACACACTACCGACTCGTGGATTCGACCAAGGCAAGGATACATATCAGGCTCCGCCAGCTGATGGGTCCGGAATCACGGTTCGAGTCGATCCAAAAAGCAATCGTTTGCAACTACTCGACCCGTTCCCCAAATGGGATGGAAAAGATTTGGAGAAGATGACCGTGTTGATCAAAATTAAGGGCAAATGCACAACTGATCACATCTCGGCCGCCGGTCCGTGGCTGAAGTACCGTGGCCATTTGGACAATATCTCGAACAATATGTTCATCGGGTATGTTGATTTGTCAATTCGCCGCGTCACCTGGCCTGCACGATCACCCTCGGTGTGTGTGTGTGTGTTTATGGCTTGTGAATCACAGTGTGTTCTCCTTCATCGTTTTTTTATGCATTTCCACTTCTTACGATTGTATATGCCTCTGCACAGAGGTGTTCTGCTTCAGAACGTTGTCGGTTAGAGTATTCATACAATGATTACACGTTGTTCTTCAGGGCCCCTCGATAAGCTAGTGTAGATGAAACTGTTTTTGTTTCCATGTCTTTCGACGCACGCGTTTTTTTTAAATTATTGATAAGATAACTTGTAGTGGAAAACATTGGCAGGATCAAGAAATAACAAAAGCTGCGTAAAATCCCCCTCTAAATTCCATTTTTTTCTTCACGTGCAGTCACATACACAAACTGTGCCGTTCCGAACCCTGTCCGTTTCTTATCGTATAGCAGTAGTCATGGGGGACAAATTAATCAGATGCACTCGACCGATTTCACGGTTTTTGCCGTTCGTCAGGTATACCTATTCTTTTCGAATGGGAATTCGTCGTGTGTATAGCAAATGAAGCGTGAACGGAAAAACTTTTTATGCCAAGTCATTCTTATACATCTAACCCACAAAAACTAACAGTCTCATCACTATTATTTTTTCAGTTTAGCTTATCTCGAATCGACTCTTGGACATCAAGTTTGCCATGCCTAATTTCTCATCTGAAAGAAAGACCCTAAAATCCGGATTTTTTTCCTGTTTTTATCGATGTATCTATGCAGTATTAAAATTCGCAAACTGCTACAAATTCACCCATTGAGGAAGTAGAACGTCTCTTGATTTGATTCGATCATCGATCGCGTAGCTCCAGGATAGAATTTTTTGGCTTTAGACTCCAAGGTTTGTGACTCTAACCCCCTTCTGAGCACATAAAGTCGATGCTACTGAAGAGTATCGATAAGAACGAACAGTCTCATCGTTTTATTTATCACTTATTGCAACTAAAAATGCCAACAGGAATATACCCATTGTGAGAAAACAAAGTAGCGAACAAGCTTGTTTGCGGTGATTCTTCTACAAGCTAATACATCACAATTTATATCAAACTGTTTGTCAGGAGGGGGGAGAGATCAAGTTGGAAAGAGATAATTAACATTCCAGTTCCATGACCGGATGCCACTCACACTTTGGTCCTCACCCATGCGCACATGCGGACAATTGAATCAAGGAATATACTCCTTCCTTTTCATCAGGGTCCTCGGGGTTATATCAAAACATGTTTACAATCATACTGACCTTTATTACTTGCGTTCCATATCTCTTACTCGGAAAGAACATGGACACATGTGGCATTACTTTCCGTCCCTAAGGGAAAGCAATGAATCCTAGAATGAATGGCGTGATGATTGCCAAAGTAGTCTCAGCTTGAGACCCTGAGTGACTCGTTGATCTCAGTCACCTCTCTGCATGTCTGTCACCCGATCTGTTTGTTCGTTCTCACATGCACACAGCGCGGTGAATGCGGAGAACGGAGAGATGAACAAAGTGTTGCATCGTCCTTCTGGACAGTGGGACAGTGTTCCCGCGGTCGCTCGCCGATACAAAGCCGAAAATATCGCTTGGTGCGTGGTCGGGGACGAGAACTACGGGGAGGGAAGCAGTCGCGAGCATGCCGCATTGGAACCACGTCATCTGGGCGGCCGTGCAATCATTGTAAGGAGTTTTGCCCGTATCCACGGTAGGTCATCCAGCCCGTTTTCCCCGTCTATTTTTTATTTTCTGTTTATAACTATCACGGGTTCAACACGGCGAAACCTGGACTGAATATAGTGCCACTTTTAAAACAAGCTCCCCAGTTGCAACACCGGGTAAAATCGTTTGGGCAACTCTCTCAGAACCAATGAATCAATACTATAATTTGATGTTTGTAGGTGGGTTCGATGCTATTAACTGCAGCAACCGTGACTTGGGTGTCTTTGTTGGATTGTTTGCAATAAGCAGTATATATATATATATATATATATATATGAACTAACAAAAGATTACCGGATACGCATACCTGACGAGCGGCAAGAACCGCAATACCGATCGTGCTCCCAGGGAGATTGTCTCTAGTCAACCACATACTATTCATTGTGAAATAGATATATATGTGTGGTACAAAGCTCATGCTATATTTGCTGGATACCTCACTCACCAAACGGTTTCAAGGAAGTTGGAGTGCCCGCATATCGTCAGCCAACAAGTTGAGGTCGTAGGACTACTGCAAGTTGAGACGTCTATTCCGTGGGAGATCAACTTCACCTTTTGTTAGACCACACAAAGCAATCTGTAGATCATGCCCTATGGCAGAGTTGAAAAGATATGGATGCATATGGCTGCCTCGTCGCCTTCCGTTGGAGACGGTAAAGGGTCACGAAATTTGGTCCTAGTCCGGCGTGATAAACTAAGCAACAGTCAACATCTTCATGCTTTTATGCCGATTCATGAGATGCCCAGCCCGACGCTTTTAGCTATTTCAAGAAGATAGCAATATCTACTGGGGGTGGAGAGAAAATCACTGCAGGCAGTTAGGAAAGGTTCAGGGTTTCACGAAACAACTCTCTGACACATCTCGACTGTGAATTCCGATGTCAGAACCCTTCTCGTTGGGCTTACTGGATATATATATATATATTTCATACACGTCTGAGGTTAGAATGTGCCAAACAAATAATGGTATAATAATCTTTATAAAAAAGAAAAACGTTCAATAGTTTGCCTGTGGACCGAATACTGCCCAGGCCAGGGTACGTGAATTTTCTTGAGGAATCCACAACCAGTGCCTGACCCTTGAAATAATGGGGGCGGTTTGTAAAAGCCGCAATCCATTGGGGGCCGGTGTCCATTTCATCGAATCATATGTCCTGTGAATGGGGTCAAACGTTCAAGATGCCCAAATGAGCCGGTGACCAGTGCCACAACCAAGAAGATGTGTCCTTCGTACGGCTCTTTTTGGTTGGTTGAGAATCAGGGTCTTTGACCAACTCTAGGGGAACTACCAATGGTCCATCAACCCGGTTATAGCCTCGAGTTTTGGCTTTTCATCCTCTTACTTTGGTGGGAAAACACCGCTACAAGAAGGCAATGAATAAGGCTTCCTCAGCAGAGGTTATTCGAGACGCTAGGTCGTGCTGGAGCATTTCGCGAGGTGCATGGGAGGGGTGGCCAGTCACAATCCCAGACACATACCCCGACCATACGGAGGCTTTCAGATGCACTTATTAGATTCGGACGCCTCCAGCTTCGAATCCAATGGGTTTTGGTAATTAGCGCAGAATTCAGGCTTGCCTAATGAATTCCTAGTTGGTTCATTATTCTGATAATTACGGTCGATACATTCAGTTCTTCTTGCCACTCTGTAGATCCACATAGATGAAGTAAAATCTTTGGCCATGTCCCGTGTTTCATAAAATCACAGTGGATACTGGATCTTTGCCCCGATTCTTCTGAGCCACGATTGAATTAAACTTGGTCAGAAAGATACAGCGTCTGAATAGGTCAGCATATTCGGCAATGATTCATTGTTTTTCTTCTTTCTATCACGTGAAAGCAGAATGCAAACTGAGATCATCGCCATATTTCACGTATCGCTTGTCTTTCACTTGTCATTTCGTGCCTACTCTGTCTTGTGGGTGCGTATGAATAGCTTTCATTGATATGCGCAAACTGGTATTGCTTTT